CTTTCCTCCTCCTGCGGTGGCGGCAGCGGCGGTGTACGCCTGCGCCGCGCCCTCTCCCCTGCGCGGCACCTCACGCACCACCGCCGTCGGCAGCGGGCCGCTCTTCCGCATCGCCTCGTCGAAGTTGCAGCGGTGGTTGAGGGCGGGGGCGGCGGCGAGGCACCCGCCAGCGCAGTGCATCGCCAGCAGTAGCAGGAGCGCCGCCAGCGGGAGAAGCGGCGCGGGGCAGCGTGGCCGGCGCATGGCTCGGGGAAAGCGCGTGTGTGTTGGCTTGCTGGGAGCGGCTGTGTTGGCAGCGGCAGTTGCCTTGTCTGCAGGAGGGACACGAAGGAGGGAGGGAAAAGAGCAAAGGGATGCCGCAGCCACAAAAAGGGGAAGGACATTTTTTTTTGTATACAATGGAGGCGTAAAGCTAAGGTAGCGAAGTAATTAGTGTGGAGATAGGTTCTTGGCAGGCGCGATAAATAGAATTAGTAATTGGTAATAATTTTTTTGGTGATGGGAGTATCTTGACCGTGCATTTGTTGCGTGCTTCTCAGTGATACCCACATCGTAAACTTTTGCCTCTTTTGTTTGGTCGGTGGGCATGTTGGAAAACTCCACACTGCTCACCGCCGGGGGGGAGGGGGGGGCGCAGTAACGCATTCTTGTGCGAGTTGTTTGTTTGCACTACTATTTTTTTTTTGCGGTGTCACGGGCCTGCGTTTCGCCCCGGCCCGAGCAACCGCGCCTACGCACAAGTCCGTGGAGGGTGATGCGTGGGCCGTACAGCGTCCTCTTTCGGTTGGGGCGGGAGCGCCGTGAGGGGAGGACGTGTGACGGCATCAGCGCAGTTCACCGTCCGCGCGTGGGTTTTGTTGCGCCCACGTGCGTCCAGAGCCCCTCAGCCGCGCCTGCAAGGCGAACTGCCAACTTTTCTGCTTTTCCCCTCCCCTCCTCGCCCCCTTTTTCGTGTTTTGTTTGCACCTGCGTCGCCACCACAGCCGTTGCCACCCCGAGGCATCCTCAGCCCACGCGGGGCTACTGGAGCCCCCGGCGGTGGCTGGCCCGTTTTATACCCGGCGCGTGCCTCCTCCGCGGCCGCTGGGGGAGTTCGTCTTGTCTCCTCCGCTTCCGTGAAAGATGCGCTTCACAAATTAAAGATCTCCCGGAGCTTTTTTGCGACACCGTCCTCCGTGTTGCGGCCAATCACTTCCAGCTGCGGCAATGCTTCCTTCAGCCGTGGGTGCGCGTTGCCCATGAGGCAGCCCTTTCCAGCCAGTTGCAGCAGCTTGAGGTCATTCATTCCGTCGCCAAAGGCGAGGCAGTCCGCCATGGAGAGTTGCGCACCGTTGCTGGGCAGCCGCGCGACCAACTCCTGCACCGCGTTCGCCTTAGCCGCCCCCAAGGGGCAAACATCCAGGCAGCAGGCGGAAGAGAAGGCCACCTCTGTTCGCGTCCCATACATCGCCACAATAACGCGCTCCAGCGCGTGCAGCCGTTCCGTGTTGTCGGACCCAAACGCCAACTTTTCTACCGCGGAGAGTGGGTTTTGGCTGCTGGCGCCCCCCGCCTCGGTACCTTCCCGCTCCAGGTAGCGCCAGTACTGCGCAACCAGGTCGAGCGGCCGCACCAGGCTGTATCGAAAGCCGCTAAGCTTGTATAGCTCGAGTTGGTCGCTCCAGTCGAGGCTCGACCTCCACTCATCCCCTTGAAAGATGTTGACGCTGATCTCTTCTTCGTCCGCAGGCAGCAGCTGCAGCAGGTCGCAAACCACGTCAGCGTCCATATTGCGCTGCAGCAGAAGCTCCATCGCAGCGCAGCCCGCCGCCTTACCGGGCGACGCGGCCCCCGCAATCCTGTGCACGCGGGAGCCGTTGGCGGCGATGAGGTAGCCCGGGCGTGGCAGCTCCAGGCCGCGCAGAATAGCGGCGCCGTCGCAGTGGTGGCGCCCGGTTGCCAAGACAACCTCCACGCCCCTCTCCGAGAGAAGCTGCAGAACTTCCCTACTAGGCGCACTGATGCCGCCGTCCGGCAGCAGAAGCGTCCCATCCAGGTCGGTCACAACCACGGCGTACGGAAGCCGCGGCGTCATGGCTTCACTCAGTTATTACTTTGCTGGTGCTTTTTTCTGCCACGGCCAAATGGCACCGCGCGCAAAGCAACAAACAACAACAACAGCAAAGGGGAGGAGGGAGATAATCACACCGCACATCAGGGTCGCAGAGAATACGGGGCCTTCAGAGGAAAAAAGAGTGATGCAGAAAATCATCGTCTCGCACGCTCGGTGCGGCCGCACTCTTCGTTTGGTGCCGTTCGGCTCCGCCGGAAGCCGGTGCCGTGGCGGTTCTACATTGCGGCGCGCGAGCGTCTAATAAAAATGCAGCAGGACGCCAGCGACTCCCCCAACGACGACGAGGAGCCAAGAGGTCAAACTCAGCCCAAAGGCAACGCCGTACGCCGTTCTCCGCGGCAGCGATGCGTCTTCGCAGTAGCGACTCCCAAATATACTGGCCACCACAGCCCACGAAATCATCTGAAACACGAGAGCGATGGCCAAAAGAAGAAGCGTAAACAAGCGCAGCTGCGGCAGCTCGTGACGTAGAAGCAGGCCGCAGCATACCAATGCAACAAAAAGAAGAAAGACCGTCATCATACTGAAGGCCGCCCCCACCTGAAGTCTCCTCCGGACAGGGTCGCAAACGAGGAAGGCAGTGTGGTTGGTGTAAATGAGGCTGTCGCAATCCTCCTTGTAACCCCAGTACGTGTAGCAGCCACCATCCACCACATCCACCTGAGAGAGCGGCGCCCCAATGACCGTCAATACAAGCGCCACAGCTGTAGAAAGAAGCATCGCAAGCACACGGCTATCCGTTTCCCTTCCAAATTCCCAAAAGTCCTCTAGGCGTCTCTTTATCGCCTTGCGCAAGCTCAACACATCATCCTCAGCCTGCGCATTGTCACAGCCCCTCAGCAGACTTCCTCGCCGCTCACTCGCGGCGTTCGGTTCTAACGTTGGAGTCACCTCCGCCAGCGCCAGGGGCGCGTCACACGCCGGTTTGTTGAAGCAAATGTCAACTTGAGGAGGACCCGCAGGCATCGCAGATACGCCCGCCGCGTCGTGAGAGGATGAGGACGGCTGCGTCGGCGGCAGCGAACGCGCCTTGTGTTCCACCACAGCACCGCTCTCCTGCGGGGCCAGCAGCGCCTCCCTGCCAACATGCATCTCCTGCTCCGCCCCCGCAGACTTTTTCACCTCCCGCGGGGAGGACGAGGAGGAGGTGGTGACGTCGTCAAAGATCCGCATCTTGCGAATATTGAGGTTCACGCTGCCGCCGCGGGCCCCAACTGCGGCAGCACCCTCCGCCAGCGCGTCGCGCGGGGTCGCCTGCGGCGATTCCTCCGCCCCGCCCAGCTGCCGCGACGCAGAAGACTCCACCGCGTCACCACCAACGGCCACGTCCTCCCTGCTATCCCTTGCCCGCAGGTGCATCATCGGCAAAGATATTTACTGACCGGCTGAGGAACACAAAAGAAAGCCCACCACTTCAAATACAATAAAAAAAGTCAAGAACACTTATTAACACGCACATTCCAAGGAGACATCGCCCAACACATTGCAGAAGACCAAAAAAAAAGAGGGCATACGTGCAGACACAAACTGACTATGCAACCACGCACGCACACACACAAACACGCACACGCGGACAGCGGGGGAGGGGGTCGAGAGACGGCGGGGCAGCCGCGCCGAGCAGCGGCAGC